ACTGTCAGGAATCGTGTCACATCTAGAGGAAGAGTTCTCCTGGAATGATGTTCAAAAGATGCTCGGAGGCTCAGCAATAAAGTCCATCTCCTGTGAAGCTTCTTTCCAGTTATAAAAAGCTAAGGAAAATAATAAGATCTGTGAGGCAATAAGAAACATGGAAATTGGCCGGGTGGTGGTGGCACACGCCTTTAATCCAAGCACTTGGGAGGCAGAAGCAGATGGATTTCTGAGTTAGAGAGTTCGAGGCTAGCCTGGTCTACAGAGTGAGTTCCAGGACAGCCAGGGCTACACAGAGAAACCCTGTCTCGAAAAACCAAACCAAACCAAAAAAAAAAAAAAAAAAACATGGAAATTGTGGCCTTCAGAAAAGGGAGAAATAAAAGAACATGAGAGACTGTTTTAAAAAATGACCAAATATTTTTTTTTAATTTTGTAAAGAATACAAACTGGATAGACATAAAAGGCATTAGAAGATGAATGGATAGCAAATATGTGGGTAGATATCAAGGACTCTTACTTTTGTTTTAACATTTATTCAGAGGTAATTGATCACGTAAATGTAAAGTAAAAACAACATGTCGTGTGATGTATAGCACAGCACATTGAAAAAAGCATGGCATCAATAGTACCAAGCACAGGAGGAGAATGGAATGAAGTGTACCGTTATGAAATTCTGTATGCAAGAGGTATTGCCAAGGCAGACCAATGAGTAAAGTAATATAAACTGTGGATTCAATTAAAATACAGTAGAGCTAATAAACCAATCATACTGGTAAGATGGAATTGAAAAATAGTTAATAAAAGAGAAGGGAGGGCTGGGAAGGGCTCAGTTGGCTATGTGCCTGTTTCACAGGCATGAAGACTGAGGTTGGATCCCTAGCACCCATGTAAAAACAAGGGCATGGTGGCATATACCTGCAACCTCAATGCTGGAGGTGGGGGGCATGCCTGGGGCTCAGGGACCAGCTAGTTTAGCTAAATGGATGAGTTCCAGGTTCAAGGCTCAAGACCCTGTCTCAAGATAAGATGAAGACAGGGCCCGAAGAGATGGCTCAGCTCCTAGATCTGAACAGTTAGGAGCTCTTACAGAGTGCCTGAGTTCAGTACCAGCATCCACATCAAAAGCTTACAACTGCCTGGAACTCCAGCTCCAGGGGATCTGAAACCATCTCTGGCATCTGCAAGCTCTGCACTCACTTGCACACGCACACTGACACACACACATACATAGAATTAAAAACAAATTTTCAAAACCATACACGTGTATGTTTTCAAAAGATAAGGTGGGGATGGATCAGAGAAGACATCTATTGACAACCTCTCGCCTCTGTGTATGCATCTACTCATGTGTACACACCCACACAGACATGTAATAACCCCTCCCACATGAATGTGTAATGACCTCTCTCTCCCACACACATACCAAAATATGTGTTAGGCTTAACGGAAAGAAACATACACATTATCTGTGAAATTCAACCGGAGGGATGTTTTTAGGCTTAAACGTGTACATCAGAACACAAGACAACTCTCCAAGCAAAAGCCTAAGCATCTACATTGTGCTAGAGGGTATCAGTGCAAACAAGTATCAAGTAGTGGGAGACCGTAACAAAGGCAGAAGAAGTATCAGTGAAGCTGGAAGTTGGTCCTCTGAACATCTCAGTATAGTAACTGCATGCTTATGCTCTGAGATCAAAAATAAGCTGATTTATTGGGATCTAGATGCCTGGACTGGTAGGAAAAATTGTGAGAAAAAATTAACGAAGAGTTACATGTACCAAACACTTGCACTGCTGAAGTAATCAAGCCAGTGTATTTTGGCATAAATTTAACATAGAATCACTTAACATGGTAACTAACATTCAAAAGTAGACCCATACATATTAAAATTGATTTCTAGTGAAGATGCTGAGGCAGTTCAACATGGGAAGTAGTACCTCTCTAAAAAATGCTCTAGAACAGTGGTTCTCAACCTGTGGGGTCACAACTCCTTGGAGGGGGGTCACAAGACCCTTTCACAGAGGTCACCTAAGACCATCCTGCATATCAGATATTTACATTTGTCATTCATAATAGTAGCAAAATTACAGTGATGAAGTAGCAAGGAAATAATTTCATGGTTGGGGGTCATCACAGCATGAGAAACTATATTAAAGGGTCACAGCATTAGGAAGGTTGAGGACCACTGTCCGATAACAATTTATTCTGTGTAGAAAAATAAGGAACCCGACTTTATCTTATGAGTTATCTTGAACTGTACCAGAACCTCTGTCTGGTTAGCTTTAATTGTCAACTCGATGAAGCCTGGAGTCATTCCAGAGCACTCTCAAGGGAGGAATTTACTAATCAGATTAGCCTGTGGGCATCATCGCCAAGGTGTAATCTTGATGGTTTACTGATACAGGAGGCCTTGCCTGCAGTGGGCAGCCGCAGCATCCCTGGGCAGGTGATGCCGGGCTAAGCATGAGCCTGTGAGTGACCCAGAGAGCAAGCCAGTAAGCAGTGTGTCTGTGATTCCTTCCTTCTCTCAGTGATGGATATGGCCTGGACATATGAATCCTCTCTTCACCAAGCTGCTCTTGGCCAGAGTTTTTCTCACAGCAACAGAATGAGATTAGAATAGTCTCTAATATAAATGGCAAAATAATAAAACTTCTCAGAACAAACCTTATAACATTTGTGTAGACAAAGATTTGGTAGTAGGACACAAAACCCGTGAACATAGAAGAAAACAATTTGTAAATTGGAACTTATTAACAATTGAAAACTAATGTTCTTGGGGCTGGCAAAGTGGTTCAGCCGTTAAGAGCTCTGGCTTCGCTTCCAGAGGACCTGGGTTTGATTCCCAGCACCCACATGACAGCACAGACATACATGCAGGCAAAAAACAAAAACAAAACAAAACAAAAACAAAACAACAACAATAACAAAAATCCAACCAAAACAGTGATACATATATAATTAAAAATTGAGAAGTTAAAATTCATGTTTCTCACAAAATATTAATAAGAAAATATAAATGAAAAAGGCAGACCCCAGACTGCTGGGGTGAACGTGCATGTGTGAGTCAGTGCATGAATGTGTGAGTGCTTGTGTGTGTGTGTGTGTGTGCACGAATGTACATATATAATTTACATATCAGAGTGCCTGGGACAAGTAACCTAATGAAGGAAGGCTTTCTCCTGTCTCTTCACTCAAGGGCACTGCTCATTATGATGGGGAGACAATGTGGCAGGAGCTTCCTTCCACTTGCTCCATTCCTCCTACAGTCACGAAGCACCCAGGGATGCCTGCTGGTCCTCAGTCTGCTCTCTCCTTGCTAATCCCTCTGAAGCGCCTCTCCACCCCTCTGTGGAATGCTGTCATATGTTTAGTGCTAACTCAATCTAGAAATTCCTTGACAGACTTGATCAGAGGTTTGTCTGCTAGGTGGTTTTACTTCAGTCGAGAGTCAGTATTAACCATCACAAAGTGTGTCTAGACTGCACACTCAGCCCTGAAGTCACTGACAGAACCTTTAAAAACTCAATAAAGAGGGACACATTTGAATATGTTCTCCACTAAGGAAGATATACTGGGATTCAGTATCATTTGTTGTCAGAGAAATGAAATTATAGCCACAATGTGATGCTACCACAGGTTTATTAGAACAGTAAAGTGGGTCCACTTCAAAGGCTGAAATTACCACCTTTTGGCAACAGATATGTAACAGTTCATCCACTGCACACAGGAGTATAAAATTGTACCAGAACCACTTGAGTGAATTGTCTTGGCAGTACCTTATAAAGTTAAACACACATCTACCCTCTCATCCAGCAACTCCATTCCTAGATATTTGTCTAAGGGGAATGAAAACATTTGTCCTTATAAAAAGTGTGCACAAACATTCCACTCACTTCCAAGTAACCAAGCTGGAAACAGCACACATCTCTATTAACAAGTGGGTTATAAATAAGACATTTAACAATGGAAAAGTACCCCACAATAAAAAGAAGCAAAGCAGTTAAATATGTAGCTACATGGATGAATCTCAAAATACAAGTTGTAAGTGAAGAAACCAAGATGCAAGAGGATACGTAGGAAAGTTCAGTAAAACCCTGGGAAAGAAAAGTTTAACACAGGGACAGAAAGGAAATCCATGTTTGCATGGGGCTGAGGGTAGGATTACATCAACTGGGAAGTAAGTGTTTAAAAACCCATTTGATGTGCAGTAAATGCTCTGTATCTTGATTTCACTCCCAGGAACGTGGGAATACACACTTGTCAAAACTCATAGAGTATCCCTGCATGGCCAGTAGGATGGCTCAGTGGGTAAAGGTGCTTGCCACCAAGCCTAACAGACTGAGTTCAATCCCCAGGCTTTACATGATGGAAAGAGAGAACTGATTCCCAAAAATTGTCTTCTAATCTCCATATATGGACCATGGTGTGAGTATATGTATGTGCATACATGCACACAAAATAAATAAGAAATAAATGTAATGAAAATCCAGGCTGTATGTAGAAGTTGCTTAATTTTTGAGGGGCAAGTTCTTGGGAGTCCATGAAGAAAACCTTGATAAAGTTGTTGACAATTTTCCCTTTTATAAAACTTGTTCTATCTCGAGCATTAGGAATTTCTGTGATTTCAGCATTCATGTTTAGGCTATGGTGGAACCCAGGTGGAGGGGAAAAAGATGAAGGGCAAAAATATTTGTGAATTGATTTATTCAATGAGCATCTGTTGAGTACTTTCTATGTGTCAGCATATGCTGAGTGCCTATTATGTTAAGGGGAATATAAGTAGTCCTTGACCTCTAAAGAGCCCCTGGCTACTGGAGTATAAGCCAAATATGGCATTGTAAGTGCGGTGAGAACAGTACTATGGCTAATGTACACCAGGAAGAGTAATGTACCCCCACAGTGGTTTGGTGTGGGAACAGGACTGCAGATGGAGGGGGATGAGAGGCGATACAGTCACATGACAAATCCTGGGAAGCAGACTCCAGAGACCAGCATCGGGGTGTATATCTGAGTTTATTGCACAGCACATAAGCTTATATACAGTGTTCGAGCCAATCCCAAGCCCCTACATTCTCAGCCAGTCTTATCTTGACACACTGTCGCCCTGCTCCAATGAAGGCCTGCCTGATGAGGTGACTTGGAAGGAGTGGGGGAGCATTAGCACTCGTTAGGACTTCTGTCAAGATGGGGGAGGCAGCCTCGACCCTGGCCTCAGTTTCTTTTTGGAGTCTTGCTGGTGTGCTGGGAGCTGTCTTAGGTCTAATGTTGTGTGTGGCTCTTCGAGGGCTCTTCGAGAAGTTGCAGGAGCCTTCGGTACCTTACTCTCCAGCCCACTTTTTCTTTCACAAGGTTGACCTCCACATCCACCACAGTTATGGACCTTGGAGACAATAATTGCATTTCTATGAAAACCAATCAGTGGTTAAAATTCTGTTCTTTAGAATCAGACTGATTTGGAATGGATTCTGGCTATGCTATTGATTCAATGGTGATGTCAAGTTAGAATCCAATATAAAGTGTCGTAAGGCCAGCTGTCATGGAGTCATGCATGTGCTTCATGAGTGATAGCTATTGTGTTGGAGTGGGGCAACAGAAGAGGAGCAAAGAGGGGTGTTCTGGGAATAAGAAACCACGGTCACCAAGGCATGGGAGATCACAGTTTCAGGACAAGGTGTTGGGCAGTGTTTGAGGGTAGGAGTGTTGAAGTCGTATCGAGTAAGCATATGATCTGAAGGTTAGGAGACGGTCAGATCATGAAGGACTGCACTATGCCCTGTGGTGGCACGTTCCTGCTGCAGGTTCCTAAACACGGCAGTGGTTTATAAGAGGTTTCTGAGAAATCGACTCTGAGGCTGATGACGGTGACGAGGATGATGATGATGATGGTGACGGTGACGATGGCGATGATGGAGGAGAAGGAGGAATGCAGAATTCAGTATTATAGCTGTTGCAGTTAGTTCAGCTTAGAGACAATGGAAGTGTAAGGACAGTGCTCAAATGCAGAGATGACTCTCGTCTGAGCTGCCTTTCAGAGAAGTCAACAGAATGTGGTGGCACACTGGATAAGGGACTCTATGAACTGGAGCAATTGAAGATAATTCTGAAAAGAGTAGCTTGAGTACCTGGGGGATGGTGCAGTGTTTCCCAGAAACAGTAAGGACACGAAGGAGAAGCTTCTTTCATGGGTTAAGACAGCGGTTGAGAAAGGTGGTGACTTACAAAGTATTTGAGTACTGTTCTTAACATACATGTTTTGAATACTTTCCAATACATTTAACTATTTATATGTTAATGATATACATACACTTGTAGTCTAATAAGCATATGCATTATAAAACATATACAAAGTAGAAAAATCAGATGAAATGAGAAACACACATAAATCAAAACCAGAACATAGTATTGAATATTAAGAAGGACAGATGCCACCCACTTTAGAGTCTCAGGGTCAGGTCCCCTGTAGCATCACGGAGAAGGGAGGTGCTGGACTGCCTTCAGCCCAGGGAAAGCTCGTAGTTCCTTATATTCCTGAGCACGTTTTTTCTCCTAATTTCTAATTTCTGCTGAGAATGGTCATCTTTGTGTAACTTTCTTAGAATCCACATCACATTGCTCTAGAAAGTCATCGTAACTCAAACAAGGAAGTGTTAACTTCCTTGGTAGAAACTTTGGCTGTAACATGAAGAACCTTTCCCCCTTAAAAATGTCAAGAGTAAGAGATGAGGCCTCTCTGCTGGGAGTTCCAACCAAGTAAAACCAGGAGAGAGATGCTTACACGCTCTGGCCAGCACAAAGGAATCCATGACCTCGTCTCCTTAAGATAATATAATGAGTGTGTTCCACGACTCTGACAGCTCAGAGCGAAACACACGACTCTGCACTTAACATAAATGTCTCTGCTAATGTGCCACTCTGGTTTAGCCAAGGCTCCGCCTTTCTCCTGCAGTTTCCTTTGTGGCTCTGGGAGGTCACTTGTGACGGCCTGATAAACATGGAGGACTTCAGCTGCCAGATTTTAATTTGGAGAGTACAGAACGTAATTCTGGCTAATTGGTCCAGTAGGAACTGGAGTGGGAGTGAACAACTCTGGGGGTCTGTGGCAAGGAAACGGGGAGACTTCATCAGCTGTCCCCCACAGGCAGCTTCCTGACGGAGTGCCAGGGTCACTTAATCAATGCGTTTATGTCTCGGATAAGATCTGAGGACTGATTGGATCAGATTCCATTAAACCCCATGCTATCTGTGCTACTATATACACACAATCCTGAACACCGGGACTCCTGAACCCGGGATTCCTTTTAAGGACACAGAAAAAAAAAAAAAAAAAAAACAAAGCATGAAACTCTACCCCTTCTTTTGGTGCAGACTGTGGTGAGTAAGGGAGAGAGGGGGCAGAAGTTTGGATTGCCGACATCTGCTTAAGCTAAGCTGATGTGTGAATGGATCTCCAGTCTCTGTGAGACTAGCGATGCAGATCTCTCTGGTATCCAGAATCAGTGGCAAACCCAACTGCAACCAAGGCCTGGTGAATCACGAGACAATCCCCCTCCAGAACAGCAGGGAAAGAAGGCAGTGAGTGGGTGCTGGAAGGGCTGCCACATGTGGCTTGAAAAAAGGCTTCAAGTGACTCTGTTTACAATCATGTCCTGTAAGGACAATTCACAAATGTGAGTAAGGCTGACTGTCAGGGTTGTTTTTTTTTTTGCTTCTGTTTTCTGACTCTTTGTGGTAGCACAGCTGTTTATTTTGTGTGGAAAGGTAGGGTCAAGAAGCTGACAGGAGCCAGGGATGGGGAGGAATTGACCAAGTGAGTTGGGAAGAATCTGAAAGCAGTTCACCAGCAGTGGTCGTTGTGGTGGCCCAGATAAGCAAGAGGACCTTTTCCCTGCTACTGCAGTAAAGAGCGGTAGGATTTCCCTTTAGGTGTTAAAATTACAGGGTCATGTTTTTTCCTGCTAACTTTTTATGTTAGTTTCCCAGGCACCAGGTTTCATTAGTTGAACATACAGACACACACACACACACACACACACACACACACACACACACGTTATCATTTTCCTCTGCCCGGCTCCCCAGCTGACCTCACACCCTTCCCTCCCTCCCTCGCCTCCGTAGCCCTTCCATCCTCCGCTCTCACACTCCCCTTGTACGTTTGAGTTACGCCCACTTTTCAATCTAGGTTAAGGACATGAGAAAAAAAACCACACAGTAGTTTATGAGTAGGGTTCATTTTGCTTAACATAACAATTTCCTGTTCTGTTTTTCTGAAGAGAAGTCATGATTTCATTTTTTTTCTCTTTATGACTGAGTAAAATTCCTTGTGTGTAGGCACCATACTTTGTTCACCAACCATCTCTTGACGGACATCAGCTAGTTCTGTATCTTGGAGATTGTGACTATGTAGCAGTAAATATGCATGCTCAAGTATCTTATGGTGTGCTGACTTAGGATTCTGCAGATCTGTTCTCAGAAGTGGTAGAGCTGGCTTACCTAGGGAAGCCCACACTGATATCCACAGTGGCTCGTTCAAGTGCACTCTGACTAGCTGTAATGGTCTCCTTTCGATGCCTCATTGCTGACACTGATTGTGGTTTTCTTGTTGTTAGCCATTCTGAGTGAGGTGGACTCTCAAAAACAGTTTTTTTTTGTGTGTGTATATTTCCCTGGTGACAAAGGATGCTACCTACATACATTCCCGAGTGTTTCTTGTGTTCGAGAACCATCTCAGTTCCATAGCCCATTTTCTGACTAATGATTTGTTCTTTTTGGTGTTGAATTGTTCCCGTTCTTTATGTATTCTAGATATTAATCCCCTGTCTGATGTATAGTTGACAAAGCTTTTTATTCCCCATGAGGCTGACTCTTCACTTTGCTCTTTTCCTTCACAAAGCCCCAAATCAACATGACCACATTTCTGTGGCAAGTGAAGGTCATAGAAAGACGGTGTAAGAATAGAATTGTTCTGAGTCAGACAGATCTATTTTCAAAATTGGACTCCTCTGTGTGACCTTGGAAAAAATCACTCAAGTTCTCCATGCTCTGGTTTCACTTTAGGAAGGAATCACTGCTCCCTGCAGAGAGCAGTCTGTGTAGAACCTTCCAGCATTCTCCTGTTATTTGGAAATGTTTCCTCCTCATATGGGTGCTGACTGCTCATTGGTCATGTTTAAGAGATCTCACCATCCTTATTTACTTTGGTTTTCCCTGCATTATTCACCCCTTCTGTGAGGGCTGGTCAATAGCTAAGTGATGACTTCTCCTTCCTCCATGCTGTTGGATGGAGTTTTAGCATGGCCCTGAATGTTTAGGGTCTTGAAGTTGGAAGTCAGATCGGTCTAGTGCCATCCAGCCAGGAAGCAGGATAGCTTAGTCTTGTATTCATAAAGTCACTGTTAAGAACTTGGAGTCCAGAATGTTCTTGTGTGGTTTTACTGGAAATAGCAAGGTTAGTCTGTGGCACTGAGAAAACTGAAGAGGAGTGGGAAGGTCTTTGTATTACCCAGATATGGCAAGCTGAGAATGAAGTGTTTGTTTTGGTTCATGGTTTGAGAGAAAATGTTCCATCATGGCAGGGAAGGCATGGTGGGAGCCCTGAGGTGCCTGGTTATATCATGTCCACAGTCAGGAAGCAGAGATGAACTGGGGAAAGAACTGCCTTCCTCTTTGATCCCCTTTTATTCAGTCTGAAACTGCAGCCTATTGGATGATGCCACGTCATATTCAACATGGATCACCCCTCCTCAGTTGAACTGGTCTGCAGTACTGTCGCAGACATGCCTACAGATACGTCTCCTTGGCAAATCAAAGCCCAGTCAGGTTGGTGATGAAGATTAACCATCACAGTCCTGTAAAGATTAAGGAGGAATGACCTAAGGAAAGAGAGAAGAAACTGCAGCCCAGCTGGATGAAAACGGTGCAGGGGATGGAATGGTCCTTCCCTTCAGACAGACGCTGGAATGTATTGCATGAGGACTCTGGAACAAAAATCCCACATTCCAGTCATTTTTCATTTGCTGGTATAGAAATTGAGGTGTTTCAGCTTGGTTATCAAATACTGTGACGTGTGTGGAAAATGGGCAGATAAAATGGTCCAATTAGACCATGGCAACATCTGTCCAAACCCTTAGCAAAAACATAATCCAGGATCAAACAGGAGTCCTGCAGATGTATGCAAATCACTTAACGCAGCTTTTGAGAAGACTGTTGGCTGACTGGCTCTAGACTGAAGGCTGATGAGAAATCCAGACACTGTTCTGCTGGGAATGTGTCTAGCTGTAAAGAAAACGTTAAATTCCTATTCAGTATCTATTTAATAGATCCCAGCAAGGTCTTTTCCATAGGCTGAGTTAAAAGCACTCCTGACGTTCCCTATATAAA